GGTTGTTATATTTGTGTTATTTCTGTGTTCACTACTTGTAATTGTTACATTTTTTTCATTTCTGGCTGTTGCACAAAAATAGTAAAGTAATCTCTGTTTTGAAATTCAATTTGATTAAAAGCAGAAAAAATATAATAAAAAAATCTATTGTTTTCTGTTGTTATTGTTTTAAGAAACAGGTCAGACTTTTATTATGAATAAAACACATTTTTTACATGTTTTGATTTTTATTGTGAACAAGCTTTTACCATAAACCTTTGATCAAACTGAGTTGCCACAGCTGTTGAACTTATATTAACATTATCATCAGTCCTGTTCGTTTTTCTCAAACAACCTTACAAAATTTAAAACATAATGTTATTACCACTGGATGTCTACCAATCTATTTAATTGAGATCCTGTTATTTCCTTCCAGTCCAGCTCAACATAAAAATCCACAGTGTAATTTAACCAATATGTTATGGCTGGAAGCTAAATGCCCTACTGAGCTCAGAAATGATATCATAAATCACGAAAGTGGCTCGTTAATTTCTCATTTGATTATTATTGTTAATGTACCTTTCATGACAGCTGTTACTTTGAGACAAGAGTTTCAGAAATAAAACAGAAGCTGGCTGAGCTTTGCTTATTTTTGTAGTGTCATTAAAAAATACCAGGGTAAAGAAAAAAATATTTTAAAAATTGAATTCTTTTGGATATTTTTTTTACTTTTTAATGACTTTTTTTAGTTTTTTCTTATTACACTAAAAGCTGTCTAAATTTAAACAATTGTTTCACCCCATTTGTCATATTTTATTCTTTATTTTATTTGTTTATTACCACATTCTTTTTATGTTTTATTGTTTTTGTCTTATTATTATTTTTCTTCCCTTTGTTTTCTTTGTCTCTTTAATCTCAAGCCATCATGAATTGTCTTTGTTGTGGATTGGCCCTGGTAAGCCACTCTTCCAGTCAGCTGTTGTCTTGCTAGAGACGTTTTGTTAAGTTTGCTTGTCTCATAATTGTGTGCACAACCTGCCTAAACTAAATGCTTATGAGCTACATTCAACATAATTCTGCCTCACAGCACCGATTTCTTGTCCATGTTTATGTGATACTGAAATATTACAGCAGTGGTTTATAGATTCAGAGAAAAAACATATGAGGAAAAACTATTATTCAAAAGAACTTTGGAGGAAGAGGTGACATGGCGGGATGAAAAAAGGAAAGATGAGCGTACCCGTTATTGAAGAGGGTCATCAGGCGAGCTTTATTGGAGGTTCTGTCTCGCCTGAATGGTGCCACTGAGGGCAACATCGAATCAATCATCTCAGTCTCACTCACTTACTCTCCTCCTCTGTCTCTCTTCCTTCCTCACAACTCTTCAAATATCTTCCCCAATGTGGTGTTCTTTCTCCTCCAACCTCTTTCCCCCTCGTTCCTTTTTTCCCCCCTTGCTCACTTCCTTGTTTCTGTCCTCTGCATTAGAGGTGATCACCGTCCAGTCAGCCAATCAAATTAACAGTCATCTTCTCTGCTGTGGCAGACCCAAAAGTTTGACCTTTTGAGGGAAATGCCATTTGTAATGGCTATAATGTCTCTCTACTTACTGCACTGTGAAGACAATCACACACACACACACACACACACACACACACACACACAC